GCCCTCTGGGGTAGGCAGCAGAAGGTAGAGTAGCTGCCAGTACACGCAGAAGTAACATGTTTTTGATCTCCGCTGCAGAAAACATGCCAAAACCCAAGGCAAGAGCAGGTCCAAAGGGCTATTTCCTGTGATTACAAAGGAGAGCACTTACGGCAATTCTCTTCATCTGAGCCATCCTTGCAGTCTGTGTCCCCATCACAGAACCAGTGCTCAGCTATGCAGCTGCCGTCACTGCAGCGGAACTCCTTCTCTGAGCACTTCCTCATATCTGCAGAGAAAGCAATGCAAACAAAGCCTTGGCTTTTTTCAGAGTACCCAGGAAAACACCACAGCACCCTTTTGAAGCTTCTAGGGCACCCACAAACAAGACTGCTCAGTAAACCATATATACCCGTGTCAGGCAGGGCCTGAGTGAAACCATCATTGTTCACTGAACTGACACAGAGTGCTGGATTCAACATGAATCCAAGGGGACTTCACAATGCTATGTCAAGGAATGAAAGGTCTCAAGTGATTTTTTCTGCCTGGCAGGTAAGCCACATAGTCCAAGATCCTAAGCAGCCAGCCCTTGGAATGGACTATCCCACAAATTCAGCCCAGAAGAGCCAGCTGGGAGCCTTAGCCATGTTCAGGGAATGCTACAACTGCACAGGCTGGACTCTGCACAGGTCCTTTTAAAGTACCGTGAGGGCAGTATTTACATTACTCACCACACTGCTCATCACTGTTGTCCCCACAGTCGTTGTCACCATCACAGTGCCACAGGCTGCGAATGCAGTATCCATTCTGACATGAGAACTCATCTTCCTCACACTCCCTTGGAGCTGCAAGGACACAACAGGGATAAAGTGAAGGCGTGGCAAGAAGATTTAGCTTGCAGAACAGCAAATGCATGACTTGTTACAAGTCAAGCAACATCATCCTCCAAGGACATGGTGATGCTGGAGAGCTCACTTTGTTTTCCTAACAAATACCAGGAGAGCCACTGGGAGATTTCTTAAGTGTTTCTTTTCCACTCCATTCACACACCAACAGTACATCAGACTCTAGAACCTGAGGTTTAGGTTGAAGGAAGTAGCTGGAAGAGAGAGATGAAGCCACCCACCCTATGCTGGTATGTATTCTAGCACAGTCCCAAGCCAGATTCAAGATAACCCTTCAGAGAAAAAAGGTAATTATTAATTTAACTCTTTTTAAATGACTTAATAGTCCCAAATATTATCTAAAAAAATAACTGCTAGCAGTGTTGTATTTCCACCTTGTTGACAACAATGTCAAAGCTGTCTTCAAAGCAAAGGACAGGTTCATTGAAGAGGGAGAGAAAATCTGAACTTCCTCTTCTGAACACCTCAGTATTTGCAGCTTCATTCCCTCTTTTTGCTAGTCTCCTAAGGAAGCTTGTCCGCAGACCAGTAAGGAAAGGGAGTGCAAATTTAGCACCCAAAGACTTCAATCCAATAGAAACCCTCTTATGGTTACAGCTAGTCTGAATAACCCCCCAGGGATCTCTCATGCACAGAACCTTGTCTTTCTCCTTTCATTTGTCTCCAAATCTTTTGATTATACCCATCTTCACTGTCATCTTAGAAATGAGGGCATTTCAACCTTTTACAAAAAACAGAAAATCAATCAGGCCTACATATATTTTCCTTCATGAATATATTTCAATAGACTGGAAAACTGAGCTTAGTCCTGCATTCCAGAGCATCACACAGGATGTCAACCCCTGAACTTTGCTTCCCAGTTCTTTGCCCAAAAAAAGCAGGCAAAGATCACGGTTACAATGATCAGAAAATGAACTCATTTCCATGCATGCAGTGGACATGGAACACTTTACAGTCAAGAGCTTTATTTCCACATTTCTTCAGATGGGGTTCCTCCATCAGAGTCACTCTGGAGTGCCATGCACACAACTCTGGGTAGGTAGAATCCCTACAGCACCATCCTCTCCTCAAGGAGCCCTGTTTGAAGGGGCAGGATGCTGGTGACAGGCCAGCACTGCAGAAAAGTCAGACAGTGGAACCTGAGGCCACAGGAAGTCAGCCAGACAGGGAGTTCAGTAGGATTTGGCAGGGGTTAGGTGTTTCCACTAACAGGGGAGGGCATGAAGCCCAGCTCAGGGAAGTGCTTCATGGGACATTAACTAGCAAGGCTGCAGGGCATAAACGGTTCTACAGCTGGATGGAGAAGCATCCCCTCCCCCAAGACAGGCAGCTGAACAGCAAGCCAGGTGCCAAGGCAGCAGGGCTTACAGGTACACACCTCTGTCACAGGCAGAATATAGCTTATTACAAAGGCAGAGGTCCAATTCAGTGGACAGATTCGTACATTCCTGTAATAAAAAGGGTCAACTTTCCCCAGTCACAGCAGACAGGCACTGCACCCACCCTCCTCCTTAGGTGACTTACGGCAGTCCTGCTCATCAGAGTCATCCTCACAGTCATTGTCTCCATCGCAGACCCACGACCGGCGGATACATTTTCCATTGTCACAGTGGAAGTCCAAGGGGGAGCAAGTGGGCAGCACTGAAAGAGCAAGGAAACACCTCATGGAGCTCCAGCCAGCTTCCTTCCTGTAACAAAGTTCCTTCCCTCATGAGGGAGCAGAGCTAAATCTCTTAGAAACAAGAGACGAAATTTCAAGCCATCAGGAAGAGCTGTTCCTTAGAGGAGGGCCAGGGTAGGTCTATAGCTCAGCAGTCTCTCTTCCCCAGAGAAACACTGACCTTTCCA